GGATTGCGGCAAGAGGAGGCCGAGGCGCCGAACAAAAAGGGGGTCCCGCCTGCGAGCCGGGGTGCCTCGGTCCCCGCGTCGCTCGGCAGGGGGTCGGGTCCCGCCGTCGGGCAGCTCCGTGCTGCGCCGAGCTCGGTTCCCGGGCCGGGGGTGCTGGAAGGGGGACGCCGCTCCGCTGCGGGAGCCGGCTTCGTGGGAGAGCAGCGCGCCTGCCCGTTTCTAGAGAGCAGATCTTTCTCTCCCGCTATCGATCGCGTCCGTCTTGCGCACGGAGCCATGAGGCGGGGGGGAGCCCATCTTTTTCGTACAAAAAGATGAAGCCCTGGGTCACAGAGAAGAGTTGTGAGCTGTGCAAGCGCGTAAGGAGGTTTTGCATGTTGGAAAACATCTGTGCCCGGGGTTTGCGGCACTTCTCCCTCCTTCCCCAGCTGCCAGCCAGGGTCCTGGCTGCCGCCAAAGCCCACAGTGAGTACCCCAGCCCTGGGACGGGGCAGGGACCGTGCCCTCCCTGTGTCATTGGTGGGACAGAGGCATTTCAAGGAGAGTGGGACGCTCCCGGTGTGGCCTACATAGGTATTGGGTAATAGCAGAGCCGGCAACAGGGCTTGAAATGTCCTAATTTCGTGCTGTTAAAGCAGTTACCTAAATAATAACCAGATAATCCTGAGCATGGGGCCTCCAGCCCAGGAAATTGGCTTTAAACTAAGGAGAGCCAAGTACGCGTGCGGAGAGGCTCCTTCCCGCGGCCTTGTCAGCCGGGGTGGCTGCCCCTTGCTGGGCACCTTTCTTTAGTAACATGCCTTCCGCCGGCGATCCAATTAATGCTGGCTCTAAGTAGGAAAGCCCGTATAAACTCTGGGCATTCGAAAGGCACCTGCTCTTGCACAAGTGTGCCGGCATAATTAATCCAACAGCCTAATCGCTGGCTTGTCCCTCTTCGGGAGGATTTTGGGGTTTTATTTCAGAGCCCGGATCTTGCAAGAGCACGCTTGCTATATTTTTATTTTTATCATGCCGTTGTTTAAAATGAATGACTTGTTTGAAATTTCAGATCTTTTAGCTGAGTTTTATGTTTTGGGAGCTGGTGTTGCTACCGAAATGTTGACTTTATGACTTATCACCTTATTTTCCCCAAGTGGAGTGGTTGCGGCCTCAAGAATATGACGTATCAAAGAGCGAAGCAGTTAGGAGGAGGTAATATGTGTATAATTAGGTGCGTATATTACCTGAGCGTATACAAGGCTGGCTGTAACCTGTGCCGAGGCCAGTGAGAGCAGCCAGTGCTGTGCGTGGAGGTGGGGATGGAGCACGGAGGTGGGCACAGCACTAGTGCAGGGCTGGGAAGAGAAACCCTGGCCAAAACGCAGCAAAGCATCCAGGCTGCCCGGCTGTCTCTCAATGTGGGAAGGTGGGATCTGGCTCGGATGGTGTCCTCAGGATGCAAATAAGCTGGGAATTTGGGCTCTGAATCCTGAAACAGGTTTAATCTGGACTGAAAGCCCCTTGGAGCAGAAATTTTTTGATGAAGCTTTAGCACTCACTGTTTTCTGGATAAAGCCCAGAGTGTGAAATGGTCTGAGTCCCCTCTGGTCCCATGGAGACTCCTGTAACCTGCAAAGCAGACTGCCATTCACGTGCTCCTTTTTTTCCTCCCATTTCTTCATTTTAAATGTTGCTTGGAAGTCCAGCGCGCTCTGGAGGTGCCCGCTGTTAGCAGAGCTCTCCGTGCTTGTATAGATTTGCTGACTCCTGGGCACTGCCGGCATCCCTTACGGGCTGCTGGATGCTCCATGCCGCGGTTTGGAAATAGAGGTGTGTTGGGAAGCACCTTGCAAGCTGTGAGAGAGTGGCTCGTAAAAGCTAAGGCGTGTTAATGTTATTGCCAAATATCGGTTGTTAAAGTAAGTCGGATGTTAAGGGTACTGGTGAGTCACTGAGTGGGAAGAAGCCTGTCGAAGGCAGGATGGGACCGAACTCATGCGGATAGCATGGCTGGCTCCTGAGTGATCCCTTCCAGGCTGGGATCCTGCCTGCTCCGTGTCTGAAAAATGGTTTGAGCGAACCCATGCTGGCTCCAGTGTAGGAATGGCTGAGTTATGCCATCCACACCCTCCAAGTTAAGTTCGTTTGCTTGTCTTTAATGAGAGATTATAAGAGATTATCTTTTCCCTTATTACCTGTTGCTCAGGTTTTTGGCTTATTGAAAGTCTAATTAACCTTCTCACAGGAATGCTGATGTGAATGATTTTTTTCTATTTTATCTATGTGCTGGAGCTCCTCTTAGCATCTTTTTTATGGCTTGGCATCAGGGCTAAAGCACCCACAGTGTTATCTGATGGGTTTCGCTGGATGGGTTCCTTGCGAAAGGAAGGGGGTTTGGGTAGCAAATAGAATAAACAGTGGGTTGTTCTAACAAGAAGCGAGCAGGGATTGCCACAGGATGGCTGATGAGACTGTTGGGCAAGGCCAAAAATATTTCTCAGTTTGTGTTGTTTTTCTCAGGCATCTGGAAATCTTGATTAGAAACTTTAAGGCAATACTCTACTAAAAGTTCTCCCAGCAGAATTAAATAATCCTATATAAAAAAAAAATGCATGTCCCCGTAGCAACATAAAACCAGAAAACACAGAACTGCCAGCAGTGCAGACAAAAGCTCCTTGCCTCGGCAGGGGCAGCCTTCCCAGATGATGCTCTGCTTTGCTGACTGCTAAGCAAATAAAGCCAGGAGTTCACAAGCAGGCTGAGGACACTTCCATCACCCAAATAAAGATGGGGCTACGTGTCCTTTCTGTGCCTTGGCACAGGTCTTTGTGCAGCTCAGTGCGTTGCTGTACTTCTCAGGTCGAAGCTGCCAGGGTGGGTTTTTCCCGGTGGGGACTGCCGCTTGATTCAGTAGGTTTTGGGTTGCTGGGGAGAAAATGGAGCCATGGGGCCACACAGAAACATGGTCGTGGAGGTGGGACCTCTGGAGAGCTTCCAGTCCAACCCCTGCTTGAGCAGGGTCAGCTGGAGCAGGTTGCCCAGGACTGTGTCTGGTTGGGTTTTGAGTGTCTCCAAGGATGGAGACTCCAGAACCTCTCTGGGAAGCCTGTGTCAATGTTCACCCACTCTTGCAGTAGAACATTTTTTTTCTTACGATTAAACAGAATTTCCTATATTTCAATGTGTGTCGTATCATGGGCCACCACTGAGAAGGGTCTGGCTCCGTCTCCTTCGCTCCCTCCCATCAAGTATCTATACACATGGATAAGATCCCCCCGCGCCATCTCTTCCCCAGGCTGACCAGGCCCAGCTCCCTCAGCAAAGGTGGTGCGTGTTTTGTCCAAAATAAAACCGTGCCCGACGGCACTGCCTTTGAGGAGAAGACTGGTAGAAGCTGTTTCTTTGGCCAAGAGGCAAGGGAGAGGCTTTGCACGCAGCTGTCCCCTTGCCCACTGCTCAAGGCGTACCCCTCTGCGCACAAAGTCTCCGTGGGGACAGATCATGCTGCTGGGATCTTGGCACAGCTGCAGGGTTAGCTGGACAGAGAGAAAATACCCTCCAGAGCCCCCGGGATTTTTTTGTCTCAGTTAATTAGAACTGTTTGCATGTTAAGCTTGGAGAGGCTAGGGGGCCTTGCACAGGGTTTGGGGTGGGAAGGCATGATGGGGAGCAGGGCAGGGGGCTGTGGGACCAACGGGGAGATGCCGCCTTTCATCCTGGCAAATGGATGCTCACAGTTCCTCCATCCTAGCTGCTCAAATAATATCTGGTGTCTGTAGCAAATTCATGTGTCTGATGTCTTTGGCTTCATGGCAGCACTGCCTGGTTTGAACCATGGCTTGTGTGGTCAGGATGTTTGCTAAGGTAAAAACTCTGAGTGCCTTCCTATTCCCCCCTCCTCCTCTTCCTCCTCTCTCCCAGCCAGCACATCGAGCTGCGAGACGTGATGCCACAGAAATCGGCACTTCACCCTGGGAAGGTAAAAGGAGGCAGTGTGATGCTGCGGTAGCTAACGCTGCCTCGCCTCTCCCCCTCTCTGCAGTAACAACAACCCCTACGCCTCCTTCGGAGCCACACTGGCGCGGGACGAGGAGCAGAACCTGTGGAGCACCCCGCATGACGTGACCCACACAGAGGCGGACGACGACCGGGTGCTGTACAACATGATCGTGGTCAGGAACCAGCTCGACAAGGACTCGGAGGTGAGGCGGTGCTGTTCCTCATGCTCACGTTTCACTGCGGACCAAGGCTCGGTGCTTTCATCGGATGCTTTGGCAGTGCCTTTATTTAAGCACCCATTAAGCTGCTATAAAGGCCCCGGAGTCCCCCACCATGGCTCACATAGGCATCAGGTCCTCCCATCTGCTCCATCACCCTCCAGATTTTATCCTGTATCTGGTGCGGATGCATCTGTAGCCATCTCATCCCTGGGAAGCTCGGGGATGTCTCTGGCGGCTGAGCCAGGAGAACCGCCCTGAGCTGGGGTGCACAATGCCCTGCAAGCACCTCTACCACCACCACCCACGCTGGGACCCCCAGCTCAATTTCCTAGCTTCACAGGCTGCTTTTTTTGTCTGATATTTCCCTGGTTTGGCCTTCCCATGATCAGACTGGCATTAGCCCTGCCGGCAGTGGCGTTTGCTTGGCAATGGCAGTGCCTGGAGCTGAGCTGCCGCTCCAGTGACATGTCAAGTTAAATACTCCTCTAATGGGTTGCATGGCAATTATCGGGAAGCGGAGAACTGGCACAGCTCTTAGCGCAGAAGGAAAAAATCATCGCTGTTACATAAAGGCTGTTTTGCAGCCCTGATTTCCTTCGCTAAAGCACTTCTGCGCAAAGGAGATTTCAGTGGCCTGATTAGGAGCAGCCTGCAGCAAATAGTCACACATTTTCCCCTCTCTGATTGCTTTTAAGACTTCAAAATGTTTGCAGAAAAGGCTGGAGGCTTCACGCTTAATTTCAACATGATCCCACTTCATCCAAGAGACCTCAAGACTGTAACTCTTCCTCCTGTGATAGTCCCCTTAAACCACAAGCTAGCTCAGCTTTCACGAGAAGCCTTAAACTCCAGAGGTACAGCTGAGATCAAAATTACAATTTTTAAAACTTAAAATGAGATAATGCAATCCTTGTGTACAGTTGGCCAGAATCCCCATTTAATGTTGTTTTTTTTTTTATTATTTTTGGTGGAGATTGACTTCATCCATGGTATTCACAATGGATGGGTTTGTAACAACGTTTTCATGGCTGCACGTAACCTTTACAGCTATCGCAGTAATAACTGAAGATATCCTCTTCCCTCCCCACCACTGCTTTCTCTGTCTTGTGATTGCTTGTCTTAGAGAAGACAGGGAGCTTCATCCAGCTCAAACTGGCTTAAGGAAATGAGGACAACTCCGTTTAGGGGGCTGCGCCGGTCCTGGGCTGTTCAGAGCTGGGTGTACTTCAGGGCAGCGCTGAAGCTCCTCATGTCAGCCTGCGCCCAGTCAAGCGGCCTTTTAATTTGATTTAGGGCTCATTATGGGGCAGGCCTCCTAAAAGCTATTATTATTTATAAAACGGCATCATAAGTGGAGAGGCTGCTAAAAAGATGGCTCCTTGGGCAAAGGAGCGTTGTGCATCAGCCTTGCTCAGCTTGCAGAGGAGAGCATCAGTTACGGGTGAGCAACAGAGCGCTCCTGTACCTGCTTGTCCTAAACCCGGTGTGCCTGCCTGTCCTAAATCCAACGCTTTCTCTGTGCCTTCAGCATGTCCGTAGGGTTTTTAGTGGGTCAGGGCAGTCACCATGCCTGCCAGCGGAAAAGGAGAGTACAAAGAGCACGGGGCTTCCTCTCCACAACGAATGTAAGATCACATACGCTGTTTTTTTATGCAGTGCAATTAATAAAAAAGCCTGAGGAGTACAACGTCAGGCTGACTTTGAAGAAAACCAACACACGATACGCTTGATTTGAATTATCGCACAGTGCCCTTTACAGCTAGTGCTTGAGAACCTCTTCGCTGTCTCTTTTACAGCTAGGGAAACTGAGGCACAATATATAAGCCCAGCAAGCTGCTGCAGTTTCCAGCTGCGGCTTTTTGTGGGTGGCAGAACAGGGAGCGACTTGGCTGGTAAAGCCAACATTCCTGTGTTTGGCCCTGGGTGCCGAAATCTCTCCTTACTCCAGCGAGCATTTTAAAACTAGGCCAGATTGCATTGCCCTCCCCTCCTACTGAGGCTTCAACCCTGAGAGAGAGGGAAAACGTGTAATTGCAAAACAGTACTGGGCTGCAAAAGCCATAATCTGCTTTGGGAGCTGCCCAGCTCCCAGAGTCCCCGGGGAGAGCGTGTGGATGCTGCAGGATGGGGACAGAGGAACGGTTTCTTGTTTATGCAAGGCACAAGTGTTACAAAACCATAGGTCCTTTTTTTTCTCTTTGTTAAAATCAGACTGAAAGGAGAACTAGTCCCTGTATTTCTCCTCCTTCATTTAACAAAGAAATTTTGGTGTGCTGGGCACTTACTGTATGCTTTGCCATTCCCCACCTTTACCTTTGTGATTTCCTAGCACAGGACTTTGGAAGGACCCCAAGGATCAGGTTGCTCTACATCATGTGTGTTTTATCTGTATGGCACCACCTCCGCCTCAAACCCGTATCGTGTTTTTCTTAATCTGGCTAACCCACTTTTGCTTTCCTGGGTATTTTCTTTTTTTAAAAATGGTCACTCACGTAGTGACAAGGTGCTGTGAGCTAGGACAGGAGAAGCAGTGGGCCAGGGTGCAGTGGTGTTGTCGGCACAGTGCTGGAGGTCAGTGGGCATGGTCCATGATGTCTGTCTCCTGGCCTGGGCACCTCTGCGCCATGGATTGCTGTAAATCAATAAACCAAACTGCGTATGTGAAGGGCCAGGCACTCCAACACTGAGTGCACCCTGTAGCTCAATCAATTTTATGCATGTTAGATCATTCGTGATGGGGCTGCCAGCAACTCACAGCGTTGTTGTCCTCCCTTGGGGTCAGTTCCTTGTCCCCACCATGGGACTGGACCCACACCTGATCCACGCAGAGCCGTTTCTTCTCCCAGCCCCCTCCCGATGGCCCTGCTCCGGGAAATTCGACAGCTCCAGCCCAAACTCGGTGTGACCTTAGCTTGCATAAGGATGGCAGGGCTGCTCCACCCTGCTCCTCGCTGAACCCAGGCAGCAAGCTCTTCAAAGCCAGCGCCGTGACGTCACGGGTGCGCCCTGTTTCACGCCCACTTGCTTGTCCTGCCCAGTGCTGTGTGCTGGGAGGGACGACTCAGCGGGCTGTTGGCTGTGGTGGAGCCCGCTGGAGCGCCTGGTGGTTGCAGACCCCACCATGCAATAGGTACGTGAGGCAAGATTCGCTGGAGTCTCCTGAAACCATGAGGACTGAGCAACTTGCAGCTCTGCATTGAGGCCAATGAGCGCCATGTGCTTGGATGCACTTTCGGAAGCAAAGTGTGGGTAAGGGAGGGTGTGCGCAGAGAAAACCAGAAAAGCTGTAGCTGAAGGGCTGGCTTAAGGGGGCTGGTAAAGCCGATGCAGCCTTTGGAGATCAAAGCTGTCATCAAAGCTTTTGAAGGCTGGGGTCAACTTTTCAAATACAGAAGAAATGTTTTTTTCCTGCTCCTGCCCTGCAGCATCATTGAACCTGTTGTTCAATTTGGGTGTAAAGTAAAACCCCAAATCTGGAGGTGAAATGAGGACCTCTGGGAAAACAGGATGTTATTTAAGATGCTGCATAGATACAGGCCAAGTCGCTCTTGCAGCACGTACCCTGCTAATGTAGAGAAAAGTGTTTTATGGGGAAGGGGGACTACTGTGCCTCCAGCGTTAACAGCAAGAGCTGGGCTTGTTTTGCTTATGTGTGTGGTGTGGCAGATGCCCCTCTCCACGAAGACCAGTTTGTGGTGGCCCTGGTGCCTCAGTGTCCTCTGATGGGGTGCATGGAGTTACCCAGCCGCAGGCAGAGAGCCTGGGCTGTCGCGCTGGTGCTCAGGTTTGCATCGTGAGTCTGTGAACAGAAACTAAAGGTGGGTTTTTGCATTATGACCAAGGAAGAAACACTGTTTTTATGACTTGTTGTGAATGTAGTGTTTCTTTCTTGTTTTGGCTTATTCCCTTGGGGAAGGTGGGGTCATAAACCCCACTAGCAAAGGCAGTTCCTCAACCTGCATCTCTGCTGGGGACCTGGCTAGCAGAGCTCCACTGGCATGATCCTCCTGGCAAGCCCATTAACAAGCTGACGAGGCCTATTTTTCTGCTTCCTCCTGTTCTCCTTCAGGATTATTCTTTTTTAAACACATTACAGAGAAGGTCAGTATTGCGACACGCTGTAGCTGGGGCATAGAGAGGTGATGGGATTTGCCCAGGATTGGGGATGCTGGTCGGGGAGCCCAGAACTGACCCACTTAATATATATGAAAAATTATTTATGAACTCCTGCATGCCCCACTTAAAACTGAATCCAATTTAAGCTTATTTTAAGCTGAGATGTCAGTCAATGGTTCAGTGTATGAGCATGGATCTAGAGTTCGTATTTGCTCAACTCCTTCCAGTGGGGCCAGTTGTAGAGCCAGAGTAAGAGCATCCCTGGATGTGGTGTGGTACCTCCCTGGACTGTATTTTGCAGTCTTTCCCTGGTAACTCTGTTTTGACCTCATTTCCAAAATAACTTTTGAACAGAACGGTGACACCAATTGCTTTCAAGGGAATAAAGAAGGCGGCTTTGGTAGAGGATTGCTTTGGCAGCATGAGGAAAGCTACCTACTAATTAGGAAATTTCCATATGAGCAGGGATGAAAAGTTGGACAGTGCTTGCCTGTTCTCTTGGCACATTTTTTCCTAGAGCTCTCGGTTATGTACCAACCTGGCTTATATTTCATGCCCAGCATTTCCTCACTTCCATTTGGCATTTGCAGATTTAGTATATCACACTAGCGAGTGCAGGGAAGATTTCCAGGTAAATATTTGAAAGGCTGAGCGCTCAGAGGAGAGAGGCAGCAGGATTGCCCTGCTGCTCTCAGGATATTCTTGGCTCATGCTCAAATGGTTTTCTCAAGCCCCCGCTGGTACATGTTGTGCCCTGCTACGTAGGTTTAAAAGGGCAAAACTGGTTGCAAAAAACAGGACCAGGAACTGCAACCTGCTTTGGTTTCCTGTAGTTAATTCAGATTTTGCCAAAAGGGTATTTTTCTTAAAGGATTGATTTTTGAGTGCATCACTGGGATGTCCCAGACCTGTAGAAACACCAAGAGGTTTGGTGAAGACCAGTCTCCTACTGAACTTTCCCAGTACGGTGTGCAAGAAGCCTCCTCGCCACTCCAGAAGTTACATCTAACTAGGCAAGAGGCAGGATAGGGAACAAAGATGCACAAGAAATACAAAATGAAGCTAAAGTTTGGGAGAGAGCTGCTTGTCCCAAGCCTGCGTACAGGAACACCTCGCTGGAAGGGGTTCTGGGGGGGAGCCAGCCCAGGATGCGGCACAGAGGGCAGCCTGCTCTGGCCTCGCTCTGCCCAGGGCTGCACAAGGCCTGGCGTGCCCTGTCCTGCATCTTGCCAGTGCCCTGGTACGCCGCAGCGGTCCCTGTCACAGCCTCAGTCAGGGCTGAGGGAGAGCGGGGTTTGGTGTGGAGCCCCGGCTCCCCTGCCCTCATACCGACCTGGGCAGCAGGTGCTGAGCAGCCTCGGCCTCGTAATGCTGCCTGGCCCCGCCGCAGGTCACCTCTTCATGACTCACAGGGTGTGCATGGGGAACACCCTCCCCAAAGCCTCTGATGTTGCCTATTCCTATGCGGAGACGCAGGGCTGGGCAGGCTTTGCTCTTCCCCTGCTGTGTAGTTAAAGGGAGATGGTTTTTAGAATAATTTTGGGGGTGGAAAGATGCACTTAACTTTATTTCCCTAATTAAAGCAACACAGAGGACAACCCCCTGTCCACAGCATTTGGGATGTCTTTGCTACAAGGAATTACCCAGGAAAACTCAGTGCTTTCTAAGGCCGATGGAGAACAGGGTATGAGTCCCTTCGGGAGCTCAGTCCAGAGCTGCCTATCCTCACCCTGATAATCTCTGCTGTCTCTAGTTGCTTTTCAACAACTGGCCCCATGTGCAGCATCCTCGTCCCAGCTTTCTCTGGGGAAACATAAATACATTCAGGTCCACACCCAGGCAAAAAAAATACCACTAAAACAAGAGGTCCTCCCTCCCAGGCACCACCGTTAAGCATCATTTTCTGTACCAAAGACGCTCTCCTTTGCACACTCCCTAAATTCTTCATCGAGAGGGCTAAATATGCACCGTATTCACTTCCATAACACAACTCAGTAACTACGATGTACAAGAAAGCTATAACCTAGATTCTCTTAAAACAAAAATAGACAAGGGAAAACACACTGCTGTTAATCCAGAGAAAATCAGGAGCAGCTTCCCTGCATGCTAGGCACTGCTCACTGTTTAGCTTAGTGAGGAGTCTGGCTCACTACTATGGGGGGGTAAATCCTTGCAGCCCTGAAAGCTGCGCAGGGAGGGGAGCATCTTTCCCCCCCTCCTCCCCGGCTGGCTAATTCAGCAGCATGAAGCATGCCTGCAATCACAGCAGCGGTCTGGATTGATTGTCTGCATTAAAGCACTTGTTTATCTCTGCAGGAGGGCAGAGATATGCAGTTTATTTCCCCACCAGCGTGCCCAGATTGGTTTGCTCTCCTTTCTGCTGATACTGTGGGGTCACGAGCAGGCCGAGATGTTTCCGAGGGATCCCTGCCAGTGGGGACGGTGGCACCGTGCAGCCTTTGCTCTCTTTCTTTAAAACTTTCAAGTTTGCAATAAACTTCCCACAAAGCTTTAATACAATAAACCCCCTCTTTTCTTTTTCACTGAGGAGCTCAATTCCTAGGTACAAGCTGGTGTCACAGGAGAGAGGAGTCTTGACCCTGCCTCCTTTCTCTAGCGAAGGGCTGAAGAGGCATTTTGATGCCTTGCACTGGCAGTCAGGTGCCTCCTGTGCAAACAGAAAAGCTGTTTCAAGTATCGCTGCAGTTGAGAGAGAGCGAGCTCTGATCAGCAAAGCTAGCTCGTTGCGAGCAGCAGCACAAAGCTAAAAATGAAGGGGATTTTGCTCTCTGGGAGGATGAGCGGTGCAGAGCGAGTGGCTGCAGGCTGAGCCGTGTTTCCCCTGCTCTCCTGACCTGAATTCATCAGTGTCTTAACCCCGCCAGCTGCTTCTTCCAAAGCGTAATCTCCAAGGGGTTCCTGCAGCTATAGCTGAACAACAAGAGAACAGGCTCGTCATTTAATTCTCTGCGGACGTGGCGTGTCAGCCGGGTTTGGGAAAAAAACTCTAAGAAATCTCCAACTCTTTATCAAATCAAGTAAATTCTTTAAGGCACCAGGTATCAGAAAACCAGTGGGATTTCTAAAGCGTAGCCAGTCTTCATGGGTACTGTTTAACCCCTTTGAACCCAGCATGTCACGTAGGAAAATCCCAGGGAGCTGGCACAGATTAACACCCATGTATTCTGCAAGAGTTCATCTATGTAATCTGTTGCTGAGAAATGAGATGAATTAAGGTTGTTAGTGCAGGGAAATTATCTGAGTGATGTTATGACCCGCTCTGTGGATGCTTCTGTAAATGCATCCTTTTCAGTGTGTGCATTGATTAAACTCAGCTAGGAAAAATACTCCTGGTTTTCTTGCAGAATACATGCATTTCCACAGGAATGCGTACTTGTACGGATGTGTTTAATTGTGCTGGTATAACTTTAATAAATAACCTCAAAACCTTCCCCTTTAGATGGTGTCCCATTATGCAGATATAAAGCTTGAGGTCAAGTGCAAGGATTTAAGCTGTATAGTTAAGTGAGGCATTAACTGCAGCAACCAGCATCACCAAGAATAGTTATTATGTCAAATGACTCCAGCTCAGCCCTCAACCATCCACGTGCATCCCTCTTTGCTATTTAAAAAAGGTACCCCAGCCTTTAAAAAAGGTCTGTTTTTCTTGTTTTCCAGTACTTTTGAAAACGTGCCTCTTCCAGTTAAATGCCTAACAGAGGGCTGAGCAGTTTGGAGAAGCCACTGTATGTGTGACCAAACTGAGAGCAGGAACTTTTTTTCAAACTTTTAGTTTCCCTGGGTCTATCATCAGCTGTAAGAAAATGTGCCATGCCAGTTTAACTGCAAGGATATGAAAATAAGGTGTTGCAATATTTTATAGAAGGTAATTATTAATATGTGGTCGTGCTTTCTCAAGCTGTTAAAGGCCAAATAAGGTATTCTCACAACCTCAGGTTTTGATACTAGCAGGGGTGCCAAGGTTTGGGGTAAAGGGCTTGGGACCAAAGAGACTGAAGTCTCTCAAATGAACTATGTGTGGAAGTTCGTGTTGTTCTCCAGCCTAGGACAGTGTTATAATTTCCAGCACAGAGCTGGAACTATATTCTCCGTGTCTGACTGAGGAGACCACTTTGGTCATCAGCAACGCGGAAGCTAAATTCTGTAATCCAATCCCAAGGTAACGGGAAGCCTGTTTTGTACATGCCGAGAAGATACAGAGACGCTGTACCAAATGTCAAGCTAAAATATTCTACACTGGTCAGTGTAATTTCTTCCAGGAGCAATGGCAGCCTGGCCATCGACCTTCACACTGATCCCTCAGTGCCAACATCAACAGTTCAGCTCTGGCTCCTTTTCTAAAAGCTGAAATTCCTAGAAAAGCAGCAGAGACCTCCCCACATGCAAATGACTGAGTATCTGTTATCCCTTTGCTTTGCAGGAATGGCAAAAGCTCAACTATGATATTTATACCTTACGGCAGACCCGAAAAGAAGTGAGAAGCAGGTGGAAACACATTTTGGAGGATTTAGGTAAGCTAGAGGACAAAAGGATGTAATTCGTGTGGTACCAAATGAGAGGTACCACGATGGTTGAGGATGGGAACGGCTTCACGATGGGAACAAGCTCAGGCATGGCTGGGAGGAGATGGGGTCACTGTGTCTGCAGGCACATTGAAGAGCCCAGAAACCCCGACTAGCGGGAGAGCCTTTCAAGCCCATAATAGCATGCACACGCATCCATTTCAAGCTTCCTTGTGGAAACTTAGCAGGGATTCCTGAGAGTTCACCCTCTTTTTTTCTAAATAAGATAAGCAGGGAGAAATGAATATTCCTTTCAGATTTGAAACACAGATACATCTGTTTTCCTTCCTTAGCCCATGCCAGCTGATCAGAGCTAAACCACCCACTTTGTCTGCTCCTAAGTGAATTTGAAATATTCTTTCATCAAATGAAATTGCTCAACAGTGACCCTCCTACTCCTGCTATTTCCTAGCCTGCAAACAGTGAGCTGCACCCACCGGTCCTGTGTGCTCAGCTGCTGCTCCTCTGGAGAAGGCAGGGGCAGGTATCACCTGCTTTTCCCAGTGGCCTTGCACACAGCTCAGCACGTCAGCTGGGTGACTTGCATCATGCTCTGGAGGTGGTTGGGAGCTAATGAGAGGAGGAGGTGCCAGTCGAGCGCACTTGTTGGGCTGTTCAAAGATATTATCACTGGGAGCAAGAGAGATGGGTATCTCAGCCGCTCCTGCCCTACCTGCTGTTCTGGCATCTGGATGGGAGGAACATTATAAATTCATAACTAGGTATCAGTGTTCATCTTCACCCAGGTGTTCGCGCAGCCTGTACAGACCAAACACGGGAGGGATCACTTGACATCCTTACATCTGTTACTGCACCTTGACAAAGGCTCTCCCACATGTCCCTCACGTCCGCAATGGCTCTGGAGCTGTTTTGCAAAGGGTGGGGAAGCTCAAGGCCAGGGATTGTTCGGCCTTAGTGAAGCTAGATGTGCAACAACCTGCTATCTTTTGTTATCTATACCTGTGCTTTAATCACAAGACCACCAGTCTTTTCCCCATATGTGTTTTCAGGTGAGACACATCACCACCCACTCCCTGGAGCTGAACAAAGAGTTAATGGTAGTCATTACATTTAAAGATCCCTGCATTCATTCTCCTCCCCCTTTCCTTCCCTGGATACCCTTCCTGTAAGAGATGCTGCAGGAACAATTACCCATGCATTCATTACTGCCCCAGGTTTTTTATCACTGTTACCTCCCAACAACATACAGGTGTAGTCACTGGGATGCTCAGGAAGCCCCACCAGCCCTGAAAGCTCTGGCAGCATCAGCAACGTGCAAGAGCTGAATTGGCACCCTCTGTGTGGATGTTCATATGCGTTTTCTGGAAAACTAGCAACAAACTTGCTCTGAATGGGTTTATGTTTTTTTTCCCCACCAGGAAGCTCATACCTGCCCCGAGTGCAGACATGGAGCGTGCCTCAAGGAAACGCTAGTTTATTTCAGCAAGTAGGAAACACAGGCAGCCCAAGGTGGAGGGGGTATAAGGAACCTTGCAAGAGCCTGGAGGACTCAGGGATGACCCTGCTTGCATGTTTGTCTTATTTCTGTAACACATTTCTTTCCCAGGTTTCCAGAAGGAAGCGGACTCCCTCTTGTCAGTGACCAAACTCAGCATCATCAGCGACTCCCAGAACATGGGCAAAGCCCGGGACATCTTGTTAAAGCTCTCCGAAGAGACAAACATCTTCCCGACCAGCTGGGAGCTTTCTGAGCGCTACCTCTTCGTGGTGGTGAGTAGCTCCAAGCGTGCCTTCCTACCTGTGGCCCCCGTCTCTGCAAGTGAGCTCAAATGAAGGGGAGCGGATAGGTGAACTGCACCAGAGGACACTCAAATACATGATGGCATCTGGGGTGTCTTTCATCAGATATTGCCCTTGTAGCTTGGCTGTTCAGCTTCCTTGGAAATATCAGGGCTATAGTACCATAACTTTGCCCCCTCAAGTTCCTTTAAGCCTGTGCAACTGGGTGCTCTTGCAGCCTGTTAACAAAGTGGGAAAAGATTAGACCTAATGCCTGGCTTAACCTGAGAGCAGCTGTGGAGGGAGGACCCTGACCAGGGAGCTGCCCAAAGCAGCCCGTAGTGACTGTAAAACCCTGTTGCTTTGGCAGGATCGGCTCATAGCTTTGGACGCTGCGGATGAGTTCTTCAAGATGGCCAGTGTGGTGTATCCGAAGAGACCCAGCGGGGAAAGAGTGGATGATAGCCAGAAGGCCCCGCAGTGCATCCCTGTCATGATGCCCTGAGGAACATGCCTTGCTGGTGCAAGATGGACAGTGGGTTTCTTTCCCTCCAGGACCGGGCTCCTCTGCTGAGGGGTTAGCACAAGTAGTGCCGCTCCTTGTTTTCCTGCAGAGAAGCAAGTGGGCTGGCTGGAGCAGAGCGAGGAGGTCAGCGAGCCGTGCCCCATCAGGAGGCCACAGGAAGGCGGACACTGGCCCCGAGGTGCTCCCAAGTGGAAGGGAGCAAGAACTGCCGTAGCATAGACCTGGTGGGAGACTGCTAGCCTAGTAGTGTATGCGATAGGCACGAGGGGAACCTGCTGCGCGAGGCGTTGCTACCAGTAGCTGCAAAACTTGAGATGCCTCTAGTTACAAGCGCTGTGAGGAGATCCACATTTCCACCTTCCGCTGGTGTCTGCCACTGTCCCCTCCCTCGACCCTGCTAGCTGGGAGGACCAGCGAAGAAGGAAAAATACCTCAGTCATTTACAACTCTGTGACATTTTTCTGTGCACTGGTCCTCTTCCTCATCCCCAGCCTGTGGCAGCCCTAGCAGGCAGGTCCCAGGGGATTTGGCAAAGAGGCAGGAGCAGTGCATAGCCGGGAGAGGAGTCAGCACCGGGCAGCAAAGCCTTGGAGCAGTGTTGCAGCTGGGTGCTGTGTCCTCTGCCATTAGTGGTTTGGAGGTGTTTGTGTCAGGGGGTGCTCAGCCTGACATCTTAAAAGAGGGTAGGTTTTAGGAAGGTGCCAAGGTCAGAACTGCTGAGAATTTGGCTCCTGTAACATCCTCAGATTGGTTGCCCAACATCTTAATTAATTTCTGAAAGTTTTGGTCTTAATTGCGTAAAAAAATCCCCATGGTAAAGCTGCATGCATTGTCAATATATACCGTTCCTGCTGTTAATGAAGATTTTTAACGAACACCCTTGGTATCTTCAGGCTTTGTCTGGTAATGAGCAATAATTTTAAAACAGTGGATTTGATCTTTTAAACACCAGTGGAAGTTCTTCACTGATTAACACATGTGCTGCTAATTGGCCAGTTGAAAATGCTGGTTACACAGGACCTCCCAAAATAGCAAAACAGAGCTTTTATTTGTTTATACCTACAGTGTTTGAAAAATATATATATATTTATGAATTGTTTCTGTTTGTCAGTGTTCCTGGGAAACATTTTTGTCAGCTCAGGACATCAGTGAAAACTGAGTTTAATAAACAAAACACATTACAAAACCAATGTTTCTTACTCTCTCTGTAACCCTATTCAGGCAACAACATTTCTCTTGGACTGCTGATAGCAAAAGGGCTGGGGTAGTTGTAGAGCATATGCCTCTGTGACCTGTTCTCTGTACACTTAAAATTGCCCGTTGACTTGCAAGAGTAGGGTCATTTGCCAGCCCAGGACTGAAGTCTTTGTAGGAGATGATGGGGATTGAATTTAATTTCAGTGGGACTTGGAGTTAGGTGCCCAGTTCCCATTGATTTTTTTTTTTAAGCAGAAGGTCAGCTGCGCTTTAGAAAACCTCCAGTGTTTTTACTGAAAATAAACTTCAGTGCATGGCATCTCCAGGGTTTGATTTGAACAAACTATTGCAGAACAGAGATCTGGCGGTCCGAAGAACACTGTGCCAAAGTAGACACCACCACCCAAAAGTCAGCCATTGGGACGTTATCACTTTATAGTACTACATGTTACGTAAAACCACCTGATGAGTTTCTAAATCTCGTGGGCGAGAAGATACCTTGTTAGCTGTGGTGCTGCTTCTTTGGGATATGGAGGTCACCGTTAAGCAGTGCCTTTGCAAAAACACTCCTTGCTGTCACTTTGTAGCTGTGAAACCAGTTCTGATGTCAACAAAATGTGATTTGTTGTAACTTAACAGGACAGAAACTGCCTAAAAGAGACAATAATTAGGATCTCTGAATGAGTTTAGTTGCCGAAGTAAGGCCCTGTGCAGGGGAAGTTTCTGAGCACAGCCACTGGGAGGAGCAGGAATTAACAGCAGCATCAGGTCAGAGCGGAGCTGCTCACTTCTGCACAGCAGGGAGGAGTAACCAGGCTTGGGGACTTCTGCATCAAATTAGGTACAGAAAAAGGTCTGTCAGTCCCAGCGCTCAGATAAAACTGGTCATGGGGGAACCTGCAAATATTGCAAAACAGCCTTTGGTTAAGTATAAGGATGCAGAATTTCTAAAAAGCTGTAACTTGAAAAATTACAGAAACGAGCAGAAATTGTTTCCATAGAGGTCCAAGCTCAAGTTCATCATTCTGTTCATTTCAGTAGGAAGTGCCCTGTCTTTTGTGCACTTGAGGTAGAAGACTGATAAACTGAATTTCAGGTAGTAAAATGAAGAGACTAATTTGCCTTTTCTCATTTGCATAGAACTTACCAGGGAGACGTACATCTTTAACTTTTGTTTTGCTCAGATTCGGGCTTCCTCTGCAGACAGGAGAAGGAAACACAGCTTAGTTTGTCTCTAAGCAAGCCTTTGGCTGTGTCTCAGGGACCAGCCATAGCGGACCCTCCACCGGGAACCCAGAGACAGCACACACTCACCGTAAGGTTCAGATACTGCCCAGTTGTCTGTTGATACTGGCCTGCCAGAGGCGTTTAAAAGACATACTCAGGCTCTATCACAGGAAAAGTTACCCACGTCTATACAGCAGATATGGTGGAAGTATCTTGTTTAAGGGCAAGAATAAAGATGGGGAAAGGAGCACAAACAAACATCTCCCAGTGAAACTCATTCCAGATTTTGGGCAAGTTAAAAATCCCTGGCAGGGGAAAGGCTCCTGGGCAGCACTTGCATTTTGGGTCTCAAATTGAGAATGTGAGATTAAACTGAGGAGACGTTCAGATAGTAAAAACAAGTCAGACACACAGAGTTGAGCATCACGCCCTGGAGCTGTTGCAGCACAGACTGTCATAGGCCTCTGGGTGGACAGGCTACCTCACCAAATGGACCAGGGCACCTCATCAAGCAGCGAATTCCTCTCCATTGAGAAAGATGGAATAAAGGTTTCATAAATCTCAAACAGCATTCAAGTCAAAGGGTCCCTGGTGATGTTGCATCACTGCCACGGTCCTGAGTGGGGGGAATTCATCCCCCGACAGGAGCAATTGCCGCCTTCACTAGAAGCAAGTTTGGGTTTCTCTCACTTGATGTACCATCCAGACCTCTAGCTGCCATTCAGATGGGCTTGAGTCTCTCATATGACCTGTATAGTGCCTGGAGGCTCGTACAGATGTCTGTGACGTCCTACAGGTCTCAGGTGCCACTAGATACCTGCATGTGGGGAGCCAAATCCTGCCCACGCCCAGCGAAGCCTGCCAGCACCCACCTGGGAAGCGGTGGCTGTAAGACAGCTCAGCAAACACCAGATGCCACTGTTTCCTTAGCCATGCTGCAGCATGCTGAGGGAAATCATGTTTATAATGCAGGGGAAATTTTTCCAACCTTTTCTTGCATGCATCAAGTCTCTCAAGGCTGCAAGAACTGGCTTTCTGTTAAAGGTTGGGATTTAGGTATTTAATAATTGCTCTGGCACTTTCTGGGAGACAGTGGTGAGCCCATCTCTCTTTCAAAGGTTCACAGGGCTGGGGCCAGGGACTCTGCTCCTGCTTGAAAGTGCCACTTGGTGTGGGGCTGGCTGCTGCAGGAATTAGCATGTTCAAGAAGAACATTTATTTTCCTAAACAAAGGGTGACTTTGGCACCCCTTCCTTAGCTAGGAAAGGAAAAATACCAAGAATTCTTTAAAATGAGCAACGTGAGAGGGTTTAAAGTACATCTGGGTTCACTTAGCTTTCAGATATTTTTTTTTTTTCTCAGACTGACTTTGCATTTAACTAATATTTCGACTGGAAAGAAAGAAAGAAAAGGATATTTTTCATCCATCCATAAGCCATAGGCATGCACCACTTGGGTTTCCTTTTCCTAAGCCACAACAGAAGCAGACACAACTAGCACAGTTCATGTGATAACTTGAAACAGATAACCATTGGGTATGAATCAGGGTAGCTTCTCCGAAGTGAGAAATCCTGATTTATACCAATTGATGGTCTAAGCTTTGTCTTCCACCAGCACCTGTTTGGTTATTTCAGAGAATGCTTGTATCAATCAGGCCGTTGAGCAAACCTGGAAAAACACTTGTGCCTAATCGCTGGCCATTATGTTGGCTTAACAGTGGCTGAGCAAAGTATTTTAGGTGTTTGGGTCACGGGGAGCAACACCGTAGGGTTCCCTTCCTCTAAATCAGAGCTAGGAATTAGGTATAGCGCAATCGTTGGCTGTAATAGAGACCAGCTAGAAACAAAAATCAATTTACAGACCATCTTGACTGTGCATATGCACACACAGTTTCTTCTTTGTATTCAAAATTTTCCTAGAACATACATCATGAATTTGGCAGGATGAGGAAAAAAATTACGGTGGAAATTCAGCTGTGATCTGTAAGACAGGCAGAAGGTGGCAGTGCAGGTGTTTGGTGAAGGCTGGAGCAGCAGCAGGCGAGGGAGATGGGAGGCAGTGGCCTGAAAGGAGTCAGGCTTTCCATTTTACTTGCTATGGATGTAAATCATGCCGTAAGTTCTGATAAATAATGAGAATGGACATGGGAAAGAAAACTGTCATCTTTTAAATGTCAGCTATAGGAAAAATTACCATTTCAAACCACTCAGTTTCAATCATTTCTAACGTTAGAAATTCCAACACTTACATACTCTTCCTGGAGGGAAAGCATGTACTTTTCTAATCTAATGAGGATCAGTAACGTTGAGTGACTTACCACAAAATAGCTCTCCAAAAGAATTTCTTTGAAGACAAACAACCATTTTTGCATGGGGATTCCTTCTTAGGAAAGTTATGGATTATCAGAAACATCTCTTTAGCTTACAAATTGCAGACATTGCAGACACATCCACAGGGGAGCTGCCCTTGCACAAGGGAGGCCATGGAGAAAGCTGCTCACTGGCCATTCCGAAATGCCCCAAGCAAAGACTTGCATGGCCAAAAGCCTCTCTGTT